ATTGTGGCAGAATTTGAGTCAGGGTCATATTGAGTCGAGTGAACTGCCTTTGTGGTTTTTCCACCCTTTGTTGATTGTTGCAATGTGGAGCAACTGTGGGTCTTGATATCACTACCGCATTTACTGCTTGATGGTGTTCAGGTCTGCTTTGGCCCCTCGGGCCGTAGACTGCACTAGCTTCTTTCTTATCGGTGAAAGGCTTCTTTGCTGCACTTGATGAAGTATCCTTATGTATCTTACCACTTCGGATACCAGCTTCTACTCTCTCTCCAGTCAAAATCAACTCGGTAAACACAGATGACGAACTTTCGATCAGATGATTAAAAAATTGACCAGATAGCGTCCCTAGAAACATGTCAACCAACTCCCTGTCAGACAAAGGGGGTTGGACTCTTCCAGCCAAATCTCTCCGCTTTTGGGCATAGTCCTTAAAACATTCACTAGCACCCATAGACATACCCTGGAGCTGAGTACGAGTGAGAGCAAGGTCGGCGTTATACTGATAATGCCTGTAAAAAGTAGAAGCAAGGTCTTCCCAGTTTCGGACATTGGCTCCTTCCAACTGATAAAACCATTCAAGTTGAGTCCCTGACAAACTATCTTGAAAGAAGTGTACCCACAAATTTCTATCAGCAGTGTGAGGTTGGCTTTTTCGGATGTACGAGCAGAGATGGAGTTTTGGACAGGATACTCCATCGTACTTGGCAAAAATCGGAGCTTTGAACTTATGAGGGATCACCACTCCCGATACCAATCCTAGTTCTCTGAAATCCAAACCAGGGATCTTCTGAATCTCCATAGCACTCAGACGGTCTTCTAGCTGCTTGTACCTATCCTCAGCAGGAGGATATTGCTCGTCATCATAATCCGTATCGTTATCAGAAACTGCTGGACTAGGGTCCTTTTTCCTTTCTTGGTTCTCCCCGTCTTTTGATAAGAAGGTCAGATCAACTGATTGTCTTATCCTTTCTCCGAATCTTCTACCCATGTTCATAATACCAACCTTCTTCTTCTCTTTCAGAATCAGTGTCTTCAAATCCTCTTGCCCTTTAGCCAGACTTAAGAACATCTGCTTGAATTGGGCGTTTTGTGCCTGAAGATCTTTGGTGGCTTGATCGGAAGACACTTCTGCTGAAATAAATAGCGAAGAAGATGAGAAACCTGTAATGGTACCTGTAATGGTGTGCATGATAATGGGATGTGTATGTAATGATTTCAAAGACTTTGGGAAATTTAAATTTTCAAACCAAAAATAAACAAAATTTATTAGAATAACTTGTAAAAGGTTCAATCAATGCCTTTAAGGCGTTACAAAGAAGTAAATGGAAAACAAATCTAAACTAGAAAAAGTAAAAGCAAAATTCCCATGGACGCTTCCTCTTTGTGCTGACGTAGTCATTGATCACTTTTTCTTCTTCGAGTTGCCTGGTGAGCTTCAAAATCTTCCTTTCTTACTCATGGTACTTTTCCCGGTAAGTATCCCTCTCCTCTTTCAGCTGAATCCAAGACCTCTGCAACGCCCCAGGATCAGTGGGCATGTAAGGATAAAGAACTGTGTAAGGAACGCCTTCTTCATTAGTGGGCTCCAAAATCACTGGCAATACAGCTTCATAAGGTATCCCAAGCTTCTGGGCACGAGCTCGGACCCATTGGAGGTAAGGTTGCATAGGAAGGGAAGTCCTTGGTCCCAACTCTTGAGGGTCAGATTTGTTCACCATGCCCCAAGCTTGTATAAACCTCCGGCGGTGCTCGTCTACGTCCTCCTTGTAGTCAAATGCAATATTCCCAAGAAGTAGCTCATGGGGACCATCTCTCCGAGCACGACCAAATTGTCGCAAAGCTAAACAAGGATTGTAAGTTATACCTCCTCTAATTCCAAGCAATGGGACATTAGGGCATCCCCCACAACGGTCAATAACAGCAATGTCTTCCATAGCCCGGGAGGACCAAAGAATGTATGTATGGGCAAGTGACATTATTCTATAGGACCATCCTAAACCTTCTTCGTTCTTCAACACGGACTTGGGGAGGTGCGAAATAAACCACCTCGACAGCAACGGCATGCAACACATAAGAGTCCCTCTTCTTCGCACAGTACGAGTGTAGAGGGCATGTAAGATATCACCCAGCAGGGTAGGCACAGGATTACGGGAAAGGAAAATCTTGACAGCGTGTACATCTACAAAGGAATTCGGATTCGGGAAGAGAACCAAACCATAGATAAGGAGAGCCAAGATATCTTCGAATGCCTGAAAATCCAAACTATCCCAGAATAGCTGAGCCTGGTCTATCAGAAACTTGGCTAAGAAACCTTCGACCCTGCTTCGTGTTTCCCAATTGGATACTACATCAGCCCATTTCAGATGCAGAGCTGAGGCAATGTCTTCTGGTCTAGGAACCTCTTCCATTCTTGTGAAGCGTACCTGCTCAAGGATGGATATACCCAATAAGTGAGAGAACTCTTCCAAAGTGGGAACCAGCTGGTAATCTGGAAAGGTGAAGCAATGATGCACAAGATCGAAGAGCTAGAAAAGTACACTCATCATCTGCTCATCAAGCTTTGAGGTGACCAGGCTAAGAAGTTGACCATGTCTCTTAATGAACTTAGAAGTCTCAGAAACTCTTGAGGCTAACTCTTTAAGTTGAGCAGGTATTTGCACAAAGTTAACTCGGATGGTATTTCTGCGCACGGAAGCCATAATCTGCAAAACAGAATAAAGATAAATTCCCTTGGTCTTTGAAATGGTTAGTGTAATGAAGTATGAATGCCATGTTATGATGCATGATGTCATGATAAAACAAACAATAGGTATAACAGATAACAGACTAGGAAAAGGTAAACAAGTCACACGAAGCCCTTATGTTTAAGGCTTGCATGGGGTCAAAGGTATTACCCTCTTGAAGTTCAGTTGGTTTCAACCTGTCCTAGCAAAAGTAATCGGGTTCTAGAGGATCTCAATATCACTGAACATCCTCCATCGGTCATGGTTTCAGCTCACGCAATATTTTTTTACGGCCGGAACTATCTCGAGAGTATGGTCTCAATGAGTGTAGCATCGAGTATCAACCAGTTCTCAGCTTTACACCGAGGTCGGCTATCTCACTACTTTCTAATGGCCAAGTTGGTCAATTAAAGGTTCTAAGGTCAGTTGATGCTTAACGACACACGTAGCGGCCCCGTATTCTCCTCGTTTCTCCACAAGGGATACCGGTACCAACCAATGTGCCACATCAACGTAGCTACTGCTTCAACCGTATCGGTCTACGCCGTACAGTTCCCTCACAGTTTATTGCTACTTACCTAAAAGGTGTCCCCAGATCCGGGTTAGGATCTATAGTAACTCCCAAACAAAACCCTTAAAAGTAAAGCAACCAAAACAAACAAGAGAAGCAATTATGATGAACTAGATCCTAAGGTATACCCCACTTATTGAATCCCCAGCAGAGTCGCCAGTTCTGTGATACGGTGGCAGAACCGACTGTTTTTGAAAATGTTGGTTTGCATTTTGCGTTTTTTGTTTGCAAAATGTCGCGGTAAGCAAGAGTCTCCACCGACTTTTATTTCATCCAATCGGAAAGGCTAAAACCACAAAAAAATCCTTTTTCGAGATTTTGAGTATGGGGGGTAGATTATAGAAAGGGAAGGTGTTAGCAGCCTTTCTATCCATGGTTTTCCATGGGCTCTTAGGTACTTGCTCATTTTTCAAATTGCTTGTGTGTGTTTGTTTTGAAAAGTTTTGTTTTACTTTATTTTAACCCTTGTTTCTATCCTCAAGAGTGTTACGAAGTTGTTTTTGAAAACTTTGTTTGAAAAAAGTGTAAGTGTGAAAAGTTTGATTTTGAGCAAGTACCTACTAGCATCAACCTACTTGAAAAAGGATTGTTTCTATTCTCGTTTCCTTTAGACAGCGCTATCCTACTATTGAGAAATAGGTAGCACCGTCGTTGGAATTGTAAGGGTCAATTCGTAAGGGACGTACGATCACTAAAACAATGTTAGGACGTCTTAGTAATAGCCCTAGAGTCTTTAGATCATATTCGAGGCAACATTTCCGAGGCGACGTATTTGAACGGAACTTTTGATCTTTGTTAGACATGAGGGCAACCACAAAGACACCCTATACTTAATGATCGTTTATCGAAGGCAACCGAAGTGAGAGTATACCCTAAGAGTGCGCATGTGCGAGTGATTTGATTTCAGTTATTATCTTTGCACATTAGGGTTTTCTAGCCGTTTTAAATTATCATGCAATCTTGTCATACAATCCTATTAACATACATCTAAACAGTTAATATTTGCGAGAAATAAAGAACAGGAAATAAAACCTACGCTATTACAAGGCTTCGAGGTAGGGATTAATTACACACTACAACATTTAGCCTCTCCAACAACAATTGAAAAGCATTGCCAAAACTCTGAAAATCGTTGCCTAAACAAATAGGGGACATTTTCTAGGCGTCTCCTGTGCGAGCGTTGCCTATTGTTTGAGGCGAAGTTTTTTTAATGTTTTTTGGGCACGCTTTTGAAAAACATCGCCTATAGAATAGGAATAGGGGACGATTATTTGCGGCCTCCGAGACAACGTTTTTTAAGCGTTGCCAAATTCGGATACAATTAACAATCGTTGCCTTAAACCTGAATCAGGAAGGTCGTTTTTGAAGTGTAGCCATAGCTTATAGGTTGTTGTTTTATAGTGTCCACATAAAATATACAATTTTGCAATTATTATCAAAATAATATAGTCAATAATAATTGGCTTCAAAAATAATATTGATTATATAACTTAAATCATACATCCATAAAAGTTGTAATATAATAAAATCAAGTTCAAACTTTAATTTCAAGATATAATATATAGAGTACACAAAATGCCTAACGTAACATTACTTTTAATACTTTGAAGTATGACCATAGTAAAATAACTAAAAACATAGTTCAACAAAAGAACAAAAATCATATAATGCTTTCAACTACAAGCCAAAAAAAGACATCATCTAACTCACTCAAGTTTGTCTTCTAAGAGTAAATCATCCAGATTATCCTCTTGAAATTCGTTAGATATGTCATCCTCCATAAATTCTTCATCTACGTCGTCCTCTTGAAATTCACCATCTATATCGTCCTCTTGAAATTCATCATCTAGATCTATGTCGTCCTCTTGAAATTCGTCATCTACGTCGTCCTCTTGAATTTTATCATTTACGTCGTCCTCTTGAATTTTATCATTTATGTCATCCTCTTGAATTTCATCATTTATATCGTCCTTTTCAACATCTTCATTGATACATTGCTGCATAAGAAAATAAAATAAAATACATCAACCATAAATATTTTTGGTCCAAAGGACAATTAAGACATCAACAAGAATTAAACCTCGCACAAATAAAAACTAAACCAATGAGAAAAACACATTGTTTATATTCTTCACATCTCATGTCATGGGTGGGCTTTATATTACTTTACTTATCTTCTCATACCAGGAATATTCATAAAAAATACTCAATGTTTTACTTTAATTCTATATGTCTAAAGTTGAAAATTTAGATTTTTCTCTTTTGCATATAACAAATCTTAAACAGTTTCAGCCACTTCTAGGTGTTGTCACTACTTAAACAATTTCAACCACTTACTTTATTCTAGGTGTTGTCACTACTTGCAAATTTTTGCATACATTAACAACCATTTTGATACTATAACATAATTAGAAAAATATAAATCAATAATATTGGTATATATGGTTACCTTTCCATGACATGGAGCATGAGTTGATGTAGATGAATGCATTTGCGGTCTTATATCCTTTGGGGAACTATTAGCATCTCCATGAGATAATCCTAACAAATCTTCAATTGACTCTATATTAATTTGAGGATTGCCTTGTTGTATTACGGTCTTAAAAGCATTTTGCAATCTATCAATCTTATCTTGAAACTCGTCCCTTAATGTAGAGACCTCTTCACTGTGGGCTTGTTTCAAAGCATTAATCTCTGCCTTTCTCTTTAAGGAAGTTTTAGTTATGTTTCTCCCATAACAGCGTACATAGCCAAAAAAACCCGCAAAAGACGATAAATAAAGGTCCTAGATTAAACTATTACATATCGTGGACTGTTACATCAATATTGCAAAAATAATAAACGCGCGCGATGAATCAAATGCAAAATAATTAGGGTTTTGACCCCAACTATACCTAATTGCAATTTAAAGGAAAAATCAATTTTTATCGTTTTCAATTATTTGAGAAAATAAAGCTCAATTGAATAATAATAACAAAACCTAATTACTAATTAATTTTAATTAAGAAAGATAATTAAATTAACCTGTTCTTTTGTATTTTTTATTTTGAGAAATAAGAAAAATAAAAATTAAATCAAAAGTCTAACCCTAATTTTCCTAATTGATTTTAATTATATAAAAAAGTTAGAATTACCCTAAATTAAATTAAACTAAATTATATTAAATTTAATAAAATAAAACCTAATTCTAATTTTTGTGAAATTCTTGATTTTATGATTTTGTAAAAAAAATAAATTAATTGTGTTAGAAAATAATTAATTAAATTAATTTAAATAAAAGAAAAAAAGAAGAGAAAATAAAGGAATGGGCCTGATAGCATTAGCATGAGGGTGATGAATCTGATTTCTTGGCCCAACAAGCTCAGGCCTTTGTTGACTTTGTTCAATCTCATGTGCATGCTTGACTGGGGTGTATTGTGGACCTTCATGGGATAGCCTTGGATCTGGAGCGTTGATGGATGGGACGCCCAGATCTGGACAGTACACTATGGACCCCTTGCCATGTAACACGCTGGATTGCCTTGAAAATGTTGAGAAAATGAAATGCGCACACCTGGGATCGAACCCAGGACGTGTGCATCAAAGGCCAACAACCTTACCATTTGTGCTAATCATGTTAGTTGTAACAATAATGACATAAATAGAATAGAACACAAACAACATGCCACGCTTCCCAAAATGAGCGAAATTCAAACTGACCATTCACAACCTGCCACACCATTGTCTTCTTCGTTGCTTCTGTCGTTTTAGATAAAAGATTTTTACCTACGGACACCAAGTGTAGGTATAACCCTTGTTCATTCCAAAATCCTGTATATGTATGATAAATGACAACCAATGGTACCAATCAACTCGTTTCAACCTCACGAGCATCATGGTACCATTATTAAGGTCCAATTTTCCCTGTATATAAAACCCCTAAAAATGAAGCACGAACCCTAGCCATGGCAGTTTCATGTTTAGTCAACAAAAATGCAATTAAATATAACCATTAGCTTGCAAACATCTCAAGGATTAAAAATATGTCAATTAATCATGCTAAATATTCCAGAATCAATGTAATCGATTTCAAGAAAAGATCCAAACTGTGTGACTGCTATGATGCGTTTCAAGGCGTGGGGAAGCTTGCTAACGATTGAAACACGATCCTAGGATGTCCAGCAAACGATTGGTATGATTAGAATGGCTTGAGATGGCCTGAAACTTGGAAATTGGTATGCAACTTTTTCTTGAATTTTTTAAATTTGTTTTCTGCCTTTGCACGCCTCTAGCCTCTTCTTTTTGATCTGCCTTTGTTCCTTATGTATACTAGAGTGTATTAGGGTTGCAATTTTGTATCAAATCTCTTCGAATTATGAATATTGATTCATGATTCAATCCTTGCACCAAATCTTTCCAAAACAAGCAAATCCAATCTTTTTGTGTCCAAATGGAGCCTTGCACGATTTGATCTTGTCTCCAGCTATATAATGAACCTAATCATGCACAAAATCTCAAGATTTAATTAGTTTTTGATATTTTCATTATTTTATATTGATTTTATTTGATTTAAATGAAATAAACTCAAAATAAATAACAAAAATAAAAGAATGACAAGTGGAAAGGCTCATGGGTCGTGGGTCACATTACAAACTCAGTGCAAGCATAAAAAGTTGGGCCCATTTAGCAAAAAAATGCAATTTTGGACACATTTGACTTTTGGCAATTTTGCAAAAAGGGTCAACTTGGTCAATGCACAAATCCCTCAATTTTGGAACTAGAGAGGTGTTCTTGGACTTTTTAGAAATTTTAAGATGTCCTCTAAGCAACCCTTTTGGTCTCATCTCAATTGAGTCTTCCATGTTCATGTATGAAGCTTTGACCCAAAAGGTGTTTTGTTGACTTTTCAAAATGACCTATAATGTCCAAATTCATATCTTCTTGTGAGTGCATATTTTGAACTTGGGAGCTGAATATGGATTGTAGGTAATTACATCCTCTTCAAAATGAGCTTTGGATGGGTAATTTTGGATAAAGTATGAGAAAGTTATGCTTGGTCAAAGTTGAGTTGACTTTTCTTGCAAAACCCTAATTTAGCAACTTTGGGGTTTTGATGAATTGTGGGAAACCCTTGAGGAATCATGATAAACCCTTGATAAAATGATGAATAATACTTCAAAATGAGAATGTTGACCAAAAATCTTGAAGTTTGACTGTATGTGGGCCATAGTTGACTTTTGCCCTAGCATAGTCGATTTTCAGGCCTTTGAGCAATTGATTGAGAAAACTTCCTCTGCAAGGCTTGAAACTTGACATGGATGATCTTGAGAACATATTAGGACAATGGTGAGCATTTGGGATCATTTGGACTCAAACATCTTGATGCAAAATGAAACTCTAATTTGGGGTAGACTGCCTTAGGAGAGAGTTTGTCTGGTCAACTCTTGGACTTCCTTGAGCAATTTGAAGACCTTACTTGACTTGTATTGAGAAATATGGGAGGGAAAATTTTGGGGTACAACAACTACTAACATGGGTTTGTTTTATAGAAAATCCAAAGAATACAGCTTAGTAGGATATTGTGATGCTGATTTTGCTGGAGACAGAGTAGAACGTAAAAGTACTTTTGGAAGCTTCCAATTTCTAGGAGACAATCTGATCTCATGGACCAGCAAGAGGTAGTCCACAATTGCGTTGTCAACAGCAGAAGTTGAATACATTGCAGCTGCTGGATGTAGCACACATATGCTCTGGATTAAAATTCAGCTTGAAGACTTCAACATATTTGAGAGTAACATCCCTATTTTCCGTGATAATACTTCTTCTATCTCATTATTCAGAAATACCATTTTGCATTCTAGGGCTAACAATATAGAAATAAAACATCATTTTATTAGGGACTATATTCAGAAAGGAATTCTCTCTTTAAAATTTATTGACACAGACCATCAATGGGTTGATGTGTTTACAAAACCCCTTTTTGAAGATAGATTTAATTTCATTCTGAAAAATCTCAGCATGAAATTATGTCCAGAATAAGAAGTTTTATTTGCATATTCTAACCCTCAGAATTTTATTATTTTTGTGAACATATGATCAACTTGTCTTCAGAAGTTAGGAGTACAGTTGCTTCAGAATCTATCTATGAAGATCTGAACCTTTCATTTCAAAGATAGAGACGTGCAGTTCACACCATCAAACATCTGTCATCCTCTCAAAAAGCTACCTTCTGAGGCTGAACACGCGTTCAAAATTTGGGGTCCAAGGCTCTGATTGGATGCATTTAGACACTTGTCAAAGGTAACTATTCAGTATCTACACGCAATTCCCTAATTTTAGGTTTCATAATTTCAGTATAATCATTACTTATTTTCTCTTTCTTACTGATTAAGTTTTCAAAAGTGTTTATAAACTCAAATTTACTATTTCATTCACTTTTTACTGCTTTCACTATTTTCTTTCGCTCTCGCTTTTGCAAAACCCTTTTTCTCAGTTTTCTTCAACAAGTCCGTGTGAACAATGGCATCCTCATCAAGCATCAAAAATCTCAATAGTGCTCTTGGTTCTTCTTTAACAGGACAGTATGAGGAACCCATTAGAACACTGCTCACTTCGGTCGATAACCTTGAAGTTCTATATGAATTGATCATTGATTTTGAGAGTTTAAAGGAAAATGGGTTTGATATGTATGAAGATGTGACAGCACAGGGATGGAACAGATACTTTGATCGTCTGTTGGGTCCAACATTTCCTATTCTTGTTAAGTAATTCTGGATTCATGCTACTTCATCCAACCATCAGGTTACGTCATATGTTATGGGGAAGAAGATAGTGATTACAGAAGACTTGATTGGGAAACTTATTGGGTACAATGGCGGCGGAGTCAGATGCATTGACATGGCTGACAAGTGTTCTTACCTAAAATCTATTGATAGGGTCATTTTCACTTCTGGACAGCCATCTATCAAGATAAGAGACTTGAAAGATTATTACAGAATCTGGGCTAGGATTATTCTGGGATGTATCAATCACAGGAATCCTACAAGCTCTCCTGATGACATCAACATTGATCAACAATTTCTGTTGTACTTCATTGCAAAGAAGACCAAAATAAATATTCCATATTTGCTTTTCAACCATATGAGAATAAGTGTGAAAGAGACAAGAGAAGAAGAAATAACAAAGAGGGATTGGATTCCTCTAGGAAGATTGATTTCAGACATTCTGACGGAAAATAGGCTGATAGAACATCTGACAGAGGCTCAGGAGATCAACACTCTGGAAGAAAGTGCTGGGAAACCACTAAATGCCAAGAATATGAAGAAAATGAAGATTATTGAAAGCATTAAGAAGGAACCAACAATTGCTTCTCATGATGTCATCACGTCTAGGAGAATCCCTCTGAAGGATTTTCCACTATTCTCTGAGATGGATGCTTCTCCAGAGATTATGGTCAGATACCTTGAAATTTGCAAGGAAGATGGAACTATTCCAGAACTCAACATCTGTGACTTGCACAAGCCAGCTCCAAAGGTTGTGCTGAAGAAATTTAGAAAGAGGAAGGCAGCAGGAGAAGGATCCTCTCAGAGAACACCCAAATCTGCAAAAAAGAAAGGCAACACATCTTTTGTTTCTGTTATAGAATCTACAATTTTTCCAACATCTGAAAATCCATCTTCTGAAAATCCCCCTCAACCAACAGAAAATCCCTTACCACAAACGTTTGAGGATTTTGACATAGAGTTTGATCCATCTGTAACTCTTGGCAGTTTCTTAAATGAACCTCACTCCCCTAATCCAAATCCAGAATAAAATCAACTAGAACTTGCAAAAGTTCTATCTGATATTGAACTCTTTGACCATGACTTTCAATCACCAATCCTAGAAAATCCAAACCTCCATTCTCAACAACTAGAAAATCCACACCTTCATTCTCCACAACCAGAACAACCAAACCCTTTCCCTCCTCAAACTGCAAATCCAAATTCTTAAACACTTGAACCAGAAAATCAACACGCTACCGCAAACCAATCAGAAGACTCCCTTACAGACTCTGATACCACTACCCCAATTCCTGGAATAACAGAACCTATTATGGTTTATTTACCTCTCTCCATCCATGATATTCCAGAAATACCTTCACCATATGATTCCACACCACCAAACACTCCTCACTCACGAATCCTGATTTCTGATTCTCCTACTCCCTCACTAATTAATCGTCCAGTTAATTATCTCATAACTATCATTGATCTAGAAGCGCTGGACCATCTAGCTTCAACCTCCAAGAAAATTACCATTCCCAAACCCAAACCAACGTTAACCAAAACAGATGTTGGTAAGAACTTGCTGATTTTTGACACAGAAATACAGGAGTGGGTTACTTCTTTAAAGCAAACAAGTCAAGAGAATTCTAATTTTGCTGCTTCTGATTCTCTTTGGGATAGATTCAGAAAATGGCTCAACTCTAAAACCCAGAGGCTGAAAGAATTGAGTTATGAGATGACTCAGCAGAACTTCAGTGATCAGCTGAAAGCCTTCAAAGACCAAGTTCTGAGTCACTGGGACAAGAAAGAAATTCTTCTGCTTGAAAATGCTCCCTGGAAAGAGCACCAACCTTCAGAAGCCACTGAACCAGGTTATGATAGTCACCCTCTGACTACTGCCCCAAAAAAGGAGACTGGAATAGAAGAAGTAGTTGAATCAGAAGATGCAGCAGAGTGTTCTGAAACGACATGCAAACTCTAAGGATGCACCAACTACGTCTCTAGTCATGCAAACTCTGGAAGAGTTGAAGAAGGAGAATGCTTTAATCCACGCAAGGTTGGATAAACAAGAAGACACAAATAAAGAAATAAGGGATATATTGGATAAACAAGAAGACACTACCAAAGAAATCAAGGATATTCTGGGAAAGCATGAAGAATCAAGCACTCATATTAAGAGCTTACTGGAAGCGTTGTTCACACGACTTCCCCCTCCATCTTAGATTTTATTTAACTTGTTTTCTGTATTCTTCATCTTATCTTCTCTGATTTTGAAAGATGTCATTCAATCTGTTTTTCAATACAAATCATCATTTTTTTACTCTGATAATTTATGATTATATTGCTTTTTGATACCTGAGAAAAAGGGGGATAACGTAAGATATTTTCAATAACAGTTTAGCGGAACATAGTCTCAAACATTCTGAATATCTTAACTTCTTATTTGTTTTCTGAAAGCGTAAACAGGAACAAAATCTGAAAGAGATACAACAAAAGCTCTGGAACAAAGGAACTTCAGGGAAGTATCTCATCTCCATCTGAGTACTCAACTCAGGGGGAGACTCTCTTAAGCTTTTGTTCTATAAATTTCTATTGGAAAATCCTAGTTTTTGTCATCATCAAAAAGGGGGAGATTGTTAGAACATAGTTTGATTCTACAACCCTCATAAGAGTTTTGATGATAACAAGCACAAAGAACAGATATGAACTCTAAATTTGTGTTTTATGTTGTACAGAAGTTCTGACTGAAACGACATCAGAAGTTTAGCCACAGAGGCATTCAAGCTTAGCATTCAGAATGTTTTGAAGTATGATGATCAGAATCTGCGCTAAAGAGAAAGATATCCTAATTCTGAACGGAAGTCCAACACGCTAACGAAATCTTTGTTTCTGGCTTCCCAAGTTCTGAACTAAAGCAGCATGCAAGATTCCTAAGTTCTGAAGCGTTACTTTTCCATTAAGGCAGTATCATGGGCAACGGCTTCATTCAGACAAGAATCTTCTCAGTATGGAAAGTGGATTAAATGTCCATTATCACGTTTCAATTTGGACAAATTGCCACGCCTATATAAACAAGCTCAAAGGTTAAATCATTTACGATTTACACACGACTGCTCCACACAATCTCAAAAGGCTGTAAAAAATTCATATTCATCCTACATTCAATTTGTGTAATACATCACAATAGTGATACAGTTTTTGTAACGAAAAACAAATAGTGCACAGTAAACTTTTCCTTTGATTAAGATATTTTTCCTTGAGATAAATTGGGTTGTGGTTGTACTCAATAAGACTTTGGCAGTTCTCAAAGTAGATTTGTAATCACTTTTATTATTGAATTAAGTCCTCGTTGGAGAGAGGCGAAATCACCTTGGTGGATGGACTGGAGTAGTTTGAGATCAAGCGAACCAGGATAAAAATCTCGTGTCTATTGTTCTTGTTTTTTTAAAGTTTCAATTCAACCCCCCCCCCCTTCTTGTGTTTTTCACTTCTTCATTATTTGTCTTGGTCAGGTGTACCAATAAAGGATGAGAAAGGCATTTGACAAAAGATTACGCCCTCAGAGTT